CTGAGCCCACTGAAAGGAAAGGCCAGGGTGAGATCAACACTGCACATGGGAGTTGTTTATGTTGGCTTCTAACTTTGCGTCTTCATTGAGCATCCTTGTAGAGCTACCAGAACCCCAAAGAAGGTCCCTTGTATCCATTCCCACCTAACCTGAGCAGGAGTCTTATTCTGAATAATGGATCTTCAGAGAAGAACAAGAAAGACATCTAGAAGGGTGGAACTGGATTCAGTCTCAGAACACATCGCATCTCCTTCATGTGACAGATGGGGAGATGGGGAAACCAAGGCACAGAGAGGGACAGGGCTTGCTTGAACAAGTAATTAGAGGCAGAACCAGTTCAACAGTCTGACTTCCAGCCCATCCTTTTCCTCTGCTGGTTGCAAATTCTTCAGAAAATAGGAACTTCAATGTTATTGAATATCTACTAGACTCTACAGACTTCGTGGCCATCTTCCTAGCTGCCTTTTGTCCCATCCCCAGATCCCACTGTTTGAGCAGCCACAACTAGAATAAAAGATTCTGCCTACACCTTGACTCTGGAAATAGCAGCTGCGAAAGTAGACTTACTTGGTGCTGAGAGTGCTGGAGAGCAGAAGGCAGCTACTAGCGCAAGGAGAGACAGGACAGTCACGCACAGCTTCATGGTGTTGGTGGAAGAGAGGTTTTCTCAGAGGTGAGGCTACAGAACTCAGAAGCTTCAGAACCCAACTGTGTCCTGTGCTAATACTGAGTTGGGAATCTCTCTTTATAGAGACTCTGAGACCTGGGACAAATGTGGGGGCTCAGGAGAGTGAGCGGAATTTCCATGGTAGAGATGATGTCATGGCTCCTGAAGCTAGCTGAGTGAGGAGTTCCTCTCAGCTTCTCTTCCCCAGGGCGATGTCATCATAGAGCAAAGATGAGGGAGGTTCAGGCGAGAATAAAAGGGAAGTGGTACAACCAAAGACAATGACCGAGACTGGGGAGAGAGTTGCAACCCCCAGAGGAAAGATGAAATGTTCACACCTGCTACAAGTGGCTTGTAGACAAGAACTGTGCTGCTCTTGGTGGTTGGCACCCTCGGATGCTGGAGGGTTCATGTCCGTCTTTCCAGGCTGGCCACAAGCCTGGCCCCCAGGACAAAGCGGGAGCCAGGACCCCCCCCATCCCCTTCCTGTGCCTCTTTTGCTGAGCTGAGTGCCACTGACTTTTGTGCCCCATATGTTTCCTTGGGCATGAAGAGTCCAGCATTGGATGTGCAGAGGAACCCAGAAGGGTGACTCAGGAACATTTGTAACTTCTTATTGGACAATTACCTTGTATCAGGCACTGGGAAGCTGTCTTACACATATTATATCTAATCCTACCATAACCCTGGGCAGGGGTGTGTAATCTCATTTTACAGATAAGACAATTGAGGATTAGAGAGTGGTTCACTGATGCACTCAATGCCACACAGCTGATGAATGGCACTACCAAGATTTGAATCAAGATTCGTCTGACTCCCAAGTCCATTTTCTTTACATGCTATAGTCTCCAGAATAAACATAGAGTGTGACCACAAAGAGAAACCGTTGACTGATAGACAGCTAGGAGCTATTCCACACTCAAAGACCGATTGTATTCGGACTTAATTCAGGAAAGAGAGAGAGCTAGTCTGTCCTAGAACAAGGAGGGAATGGAGGAGAAATAAACAGTTCAGGATATTTTCCTGGACCAATAAAAGAACAGGACAAATAAACCAGTAAGAATCAAGTTTGGAAGACCCAGATAGAGAATGTTCTTCTAGTATAAAAACAGGATTGAGCTGGGTGCAGGGCCTCACACCTGTAATCCCAGCACTTTGGGAGGTCAAGGCAGGCAGAGTACTTCAGCCGAGAAGATCGAGACCAGCCTGGGCAACATGGTGAAACCCTGTCTCTACAAAAAATTACAAAAAAAAGAAAAAATTTGGCTGGGAGTGGTGATGCACACCCGTAGCCCCAGCTGCTCAGGAGGCTGAGGTGGGAGGATCACCTGAGCCCAGGAAAGTCCAGGCTGCAGTAAGTGGTGATTGTCCCACTGCACTCCAGCTTGGATGACAGAATGAGACCCTGACTCAAACAAAGCAAAGCAAAACAAAACAAAACAGAATTGTATACCTAGTAATGAGTTTATCCGTGTTACAGACAAAATGTGTAATCTGAGGATGTGGGTGTGTCCGAGTCAGTCCATAGGGAATGCCTGTGCTCATGTTAAGCCCTGGCTAGTTTGACAGTTGCTGGGCACCTGTACAGAAGGTGAAGCTTACAAAGGTCCTGCATATAGGAGTGTGCAAAGTTGGACAAATGAAGGAAATGAAGATAATTGGATCAAAATCTCTATCTGCCTTTAGCTCTACTACTCTAACCCGTCTGCTCAACCCTAACCCCACATTGTTACGTGCTCTTCTCTGAGAAAGAAAAAAGAAGAATAAAAAGAGGGAGCCATGACTTCAAACTATACTACAGTGCTACAGTAACCAAAACAGCATGGCATCAGTACAAAAACAGACACATAGACCAATAGAACAAAATAGAGAGCTCAGAAATAATGCTGCATACTTGCAACCATCCAATCTTTGACAAAGTTAACAAAAACAAGCAATAGGGAGAGGGCTTCCCATTCAATAAATGGTACTGGGATAACTTGCTAGCTGTACAAAAAGATTGAAACTGGACCCCTTCCTTACACCACGTATAAAAATCAACTCACAATGGATTAAAGACTTAAATGTAAAACCTAAAACTATAAAAATATGACAACCTGTAAGATAACCTAGACAATACCATTCTGGGCATAGGATCTGGCAGAGATTTCATGATGAAGATGCCAAAAATAAATCGCAACAAAACCAAAAACTAACAAATGGGATCTAATTAAACTAAAGAGCTTCTGCACAGCAAAAGAAACTATCAGCAGAGTAAAGAGATAACCTACAGAATGGGAGAAAATATTTACAAACTATGCATCTGACAAATAATATCCAGAATCTATAGGGAATTTAAACAAATGTACAAGCAAAAACAAGCAACTCCATTAAAAAGTGGGCATTGGACATAAACAGACATATTTCAAAAGAAGACATACATATGTGGCCAAGAAACATACAAAAAACGCTCAACACCACTAAACATTAGAGAAATGCAAATCAAAACCACAACAAGATACCATCTCAAACCAGTCAGGATGGCTATTTTAAAAAGTCAAAAAATAACAGATGTTGGTGAGGTTGTGGAGAAAAGGAACACTGCTGGTGGGAATGTAAATTAGTTTAGCCATTGTGGAAAGCAGTTTGGCAATTTCTCAAAGAACTTAAAACAGAACTACCATTCAACCCAGCAATCCCATTACTGGGTATATACCCAAAGGAATATAAATCGTTCTACCATAAAGACATGTGCACATGTATGTTAATTGCAACACTATTCACAATAGCAAAGACATGGAGTCAACCTAAATGCCCATTGATGGAAGACTGGATAAAGAAAATGTGGTGTATATATATATGCTGTGGAATACTTCTGTGTAAAAAAAAAAAGAACAAGATCAATACCTTTTGCAGCAACATGGATGGAGCTGGAGGCCATTATTCTAAGTGAACTAACACAGGAACAGAAAACCAAATACTGCATGTTCTCACTTACAAGTGGATGCTAAACATTGAGTACACATGGACACAAAGAAGGGAGCAACAGCAGGTACAGGGCCTGCCAGGGTGAAGGGTGGGAGGAGGGTGAATTTAAAAAAAAAACTACCTATTATGTTACTTTATGTGGCCTGGGTGATAAAATAATCTGTTAAACCCCCACAACACACAATTTTCTATAACAAACCTACACATGCACCTCTGAACCTAAAAACCTATTGAGTACTATGCTTATTACCTGGGTGATAAAATAATCTGTACACCAAACCCCCACAACACACAATTTACCTATATAACAAACCTACACATGCACCTCTGAACCTAAAATACAAATTAAGGAAAAAAAGGGACCTACAGCATCTGGGAGCCATAGGAGAGGTTGGAGCAGCATCCTGGGGTACTTCAGGGTCATTACATAAAGTACAAGGTCATCCTACCTCAGCATTCTCCCTCACTTCCCCACCCGCACACACAAGCTGCACTTCTCTCCTCTGTTCTCTCCCCCTTTTCTTTGAACAGCTCTTGCTTCAAATGTTCTGATCGTCTCCAAGACCCTTGCCCCCAGCTGCAATGTTCCGTGTTCCCTGGTAGCACATGTGTTGATACCTCTCCTGGCCTTTCCTAGTTGGTGCAGTTTCATCTTCATGCATCAAGGACCTTACTTTAAGAGAAACAGAATGTGTCTCATGTTCTCTGGATTCACACAGACTTCGTTATCTATGACATTTTGATTCAACCCAATGTACTAACCATCTGCTGTTTGTCAGGGCAGACAGAGCTGAACGAAGCCCCATCCCTGCCTTCGAAGAGTTCCATGTCTAGAGATGGCATTGACAGTGACAGAAATAACTATGCCACGAGGTGGAATAAGCTAAGTGTCATGTCAGAGGAAGAAACAAAGTGTCAGGAAGCCTGAAGGATGGTGAAGGCTGTCTCTCAGCTATGGGTGAGTAGCTCCAAGTTAAGTCTCAATCCCCACTAGAGCAGCTGTCTGAATGAGCAGGGTGGAGGGGTTAGGAGGATGCCTGTTCTGGGTTTCAGGAGAACAGTGATTGATAAAATGGGTGATTAGTCACCATTGAGCCATACAATGAGTTTGTCTGTTGACTTTTGTTTCCTAGCCTTGATCTGATCTTTGGCTCATGGAGGTAAAAGGTTCTGAGGGGTCTTCGTGAAGATCCTAACAACAATACTGTGTCTGCACCCAGTGGAAGTCCACACTGAGAGTAAAAAGGACTTGTATCATTTTGTTTAGCCACCCCAAGATTAACTCCCCCCACCCCGAGATTTAGGCACTGGTGCCATTTGGAACACCTGGAGGACAAATGTGGAGACTGGAAAGCCAAGGGGAGCCAATAAACGATGATAACAAATAACTCTCGAATACACGACAAAAAAGATGCTCATGTTCTCTAGAGAAACTTCCCTGACCTCTTTCCCAAGTAAATCCTGTGTCCTTCCCTGTGCTGCTACATTCTCCTGAACTACTTCCTTCTTACTACCTATCACATATTGATCTATTCTTGTGTTTGCCTCCCCAACTGGAAAGTGAGCTCCTTGATGCAGAAACTGTGTTATGCTTATCTCCATGGAGGGGATGCGATGAGTAATATGGACTCAAGATGTGAACCCTTATATAGCCAAATGAGTAAACCGAGTATGAGTGAACTGGGTGTTCTGACGTTCCACCCAAAAGGTGATTTCTCAGCCCTGATAGTGTGGTACTTCCCCTTCTCCCCCACGCTCAACCCACACATCCAGCAGTTTTATCATAACGGATACTATTCTTGGACTCAATTCTTTGTAGCTCAGGGTTGCAAGAAGTGACAGCAAGGGTCATCCATGGTTCCAGGGAGCTCCATTCAGGGGGCTACCCCCTCACCCCTGAGCAGGGAAGCCCTTCTTTCCCCCTCACTTGTGGTCATTTAGAGGTTTCCACCTCCACATGCTCGACCACCGCTATATTCATAACTCCATTCTGGGCATTTTTACATTTGTCTTGTCGTGTTATCCTCAACTTCCCAGTCTGCAGGCAGGCCCAGCAGCCATAGCAGTAACATGACCTTGAAAATGTCCTGGTATTTTTTCATTTTCCTCAGCATATCCATGGCCTGTAGTTTTACCTGATCCCAATCTGTTTTGCCACTGAATAGATTAGGAAAGGAAAACCTAGAGAAGTAGAAAGACCTGATCAAGGTCACACAGGATGCACGTCAAGACCCAGGGTCTTCAACTCCCAGTTCAGAGATGACCAGAGTCGCTCTACAGGTGTGACCCTCTGAGATTACACGTAGAGGCAATCTCTGATCACAACAGACTCAGTCAATCTGGACATGCTGGCCTCTCCTAGAGTGCTGAGGAGACCACTGGGTGTTGGGGTCAAGAGGTAGCCTCTAAAAGGTGGGATGGGTAGACCTAGAGAACCCCTGGAGGGCAAATGTGGAGACTGGAAAGCCAAGGGGAGCTGGAACATAGGGTCATTTGCCAAGATAATAAACCAAGAGGCAAATCCTGTGGTTTTGCCAATATGGTGTCCAAGTCACTTTGGAGGAAATGGGAGCAGAAGCCGAATTGTGAATTGAAGAAACAAGTACACAATTATCCCGAGTGCAGAATTCTTCAGGATGAAATTCGTAGGACAATGAGCTGGTTGGAGCAGCTCATCAGTGACTGTCACACTCTGACTACGGAGCTGGCCGGCCCCGCTCTTCTTACCGTAGAAATGGACCTTGGTCACCTGCCACAGCCTGCTTTTAGTTGTGAAAGGTAGAGGTCAGCAACTTCAGGAGATGTTAAATTCCTGAGAGAGGGGTAAAGCCTCACCAGCAGTCATGAGATCAAGAAAACTTTCAGTATTCCTTGTGAAGCATCTTCCTTCCAATTGTTTCTGGCCTCTTTCCATGCAGGTCGTA